TTTATCACTGGTGAATTATTATATTATTTTTTAAATTATTTTTTATTTGTTATAAGAAAATCTTTCAAAAGTACATGGCACCTAAATTATATATAATTGGAATTTATAAATCCAAAAGAAATAATTCCAGCAAACAAATTATATTACATTATGTTTATTAAACTACATTAAAAATTGTCAGCATTTGGGATTACAGAGACAATACCATTGTGGATGAATCTAAAGGATTCTTCGACGCAAAAACCTTCCGTTTCCCAGGACTCTGATTACTTGTACCAATACATAGATTATCAGGACATGAACGAAAGCGACACAAGCACGTTGCTGCCCAGTGTGTCTACTACTATTAGTGTACCTACCCAGACAGTGAAGATCATTCACCCATCACCACAGAAGCCTCAATTAAAGAAGAACACCACGTTACCAATAAAGAAAAATCCTGTGTCACCGTCACCCAGCAGCTCCGGCTTCAGCTTTTTCGGTCTACCACTCAGTCTACCGAATTTAAACTTTAATCTGTGGAGGCATTCGGCTAGAAAGGCAGAGAGAAAGGAATCTTCATCGGAATCATCATCGTCGTCGGATAGACCCGGCCGAGGACGTTACAGGTCTTTTCCGCCCACGGAACCAGAAATTCATAGAGGTGGTTTTGTGCCTCTGCCGCGCGGCCAAAGCGGATTCATGCCGATCGCCGATCCTAGATTAACGTATGAGAAACACGCAAAGCATGAAAATACTTCGAGATCGTTGAATGTAAGCAATACATCGGTACAGGAACGTTCTGTTCTTCGAAAAAGTGGAAACAGCACCGTGACCAAGGTGGAGAAAATTGCCCCCAGAACCGGGAAACCGCGAACAAGCTTCCGAGAAAGAGAAGATCTTCCCACTACATCGACAGTCATTCGATCAACGAGTTTTGAATCTCGCAAAATTTTGTCCAACGTCAATAGAACTAGGTGAATAATTATTCTTTTTTTTCGATGCAATCCTCTAAATTTCCCTAACATCCCAGCAAACAATTAAGTTATCGTTATATGTCACTGTTGGATGTTAAAATGTCTTCAATGTCATTTGTCAAAATCCGATGATAAATAACATCAGCTTATTTTCTGAGAACAGCCTGAGATAAGACATATTCTCCAAATTCTTTAATTAAGATAAAAATTTTTTTTATAATCCTAATAGGAAATAAAGCCCATATATAATTTCTTTTTATTTAATTAAAACGATTTAGAAATTAAAAAATGATATTTTAAACTGTTTTACATTTAATGCTATTATATCGATATTTACATTCGATATTTATAATCCTTTAAACTTTTTTTTTTAAGCCTTAATGCATCAAATGCAGTGAAAAATAGCGTGCCAATAATCGTAGAAGAAGAAGACTCATCACAAGAAGCTCATGAAACATCAGTTTCTACTGAAATTTATGACGACAAAAGTTTAGAAGTAAATACGGAAGACATTAAATTCATAGAGAAGCCGCAGATGGAAGTCGCTAACAGAATAGTTTGGACCACACCAAAATCAGTAACAACGGAAGCAAAAAAAGTTACAATTACTAAGGAAACTGTAACCGCAGCGGTGCAGATAATACCGTCAAAAGAAGACGGATCTAAAGATTGGAATTTAGAAATATCTGAACATGAAAGTGATCCAACTCTTTTAAACAGTACAATTGACTCCCATGAGAAACCAGGTAAGTTTATATTTGAATAAAATATTTAATAATAAAATTTAATTTTAAAATGTTCCATACGTTCACATTTTATTATGAGATTTCTTCACCCTCGTTGTCAGATATGTAATTAAGTTCCTATTAAAGTAAACTCTATTTTTAATTACTTGAGAGCTGATTTCATTATTGATTTAACTGTTAAAATTTAATTTGTCAAGAAAGTTAAATCTTTCGTTATTAAAACATCTAACAAAAATATTATTTTATTTACTGCAGACTATTTGGATATTGTGACAGAAACAGATGCAGAACCGATTTCGCACTTCTCAATACCCTTAACGTCCTCTACATCGAATCCACGGCTCAAAGAAACAACTGTGACTTCTCGAGGAACGGAGGCATCTGCTTTGTCTGCGCTTCTGATTCCGGGAGGACAAGTACCGTCTTCAGGATCCGTAAATTTACGTCCGCTTGGTAGATCTACGATAACCAAGGTCGCCTCACCGTACATCAGCTACAGCACCGAACAATCCAAAGAGAAACAGAAGTCGATCGCCAGCGCTATTCAAAGAAGCGAGATAGACGAGACGACAACTGAAAATCAAAACAATGTGTTCGTCATCAATGATGAAGCCAAAGTGATAGACGACAATCCTTTCAATTGGTACTTCCAGCATTATAATGATACAAATGTGGGGCCTTACGTAGGCATAACTTACAGCAGTACTGCGAAGATCGATGTCTATCAATGGTTTTTTTTGCTTGTGGCTTGTGGCAATATTCTTATATAAAAAGATTTGGAGATTAGATCATTTTTTTCACAGACAGATTAATCGTTGTATTATATGAAATAAAATATGCTATAACATTTGTTAAATGCTGTGGTGAATATTCTAAATCATAAATCATGTACAATCATATTATGTATACAATGCAAGAAATTTGCAAATTCTATATTCTGCCCAAAACATGTACAAGAATTAAAGATAATGCGTATACATATCTGCTTTTTTGTATACATTTTCTTTTGGTAAAGAGAATAAATAGAAAATGTTTCAATATTAATGATAAATTAATAAAATGATATATATATAAGTAAAAGATTATTTTTATTAATGTAATATTTTCTCTTAATAGAATGACTTGCATTTCCTAAAAATACATAATCCATATCTATCACACATTAATTGAAACTTAAATTTTAAGCGATATGCTTAAGGCAATTTAAAAAAACACATCGACTGCTTGTTGCTTGTTGATTAATGGATGAAATTGAAAGAAAATAAATAATTATACTTCGTATAGAATACTATCGTTTATATTAACGGATTGTTAATTAAAACACTGAAAATATTGTAAAGATTACAATATTTTGTAAAAATGTCTTAATCCTAAATTTTTCGATATATTTGCTACATCATTCATTACATTCAAAATACAGAAGTGTTGAGTTATTATTTTTTCTCTTGCACCTAATATATTAAAAACTTACAAAATTATATCAGAACAATTCAGGAATCAATTTGCTGTTTCTAATACATATTTAAATTTTTTTTTTTTTAAGTGGGATATCATTCTGTACAAATAGTGAACAGACTTGACTATTACACACAAAGTCATTAATTGTCCTCAACTTTAACAGTCTTAACTGAGCAAGCTCAGAAATTCCCTGATCATTGACTTTTAGCTTTCGCTTTTTCTTCACCTTTCTTCTCCTCTTCTTTCTTTTCTTCCTTCTTGGTATCTTTCTTTCCATCTGTTTCTTTTTTTTCAGCATCACGATTGGTTAGCTTATTATTAATTAAATTGTGCAATGCAACTATAGACCTAACTAATGCTGCTAGATATACAACCAGCATCTGATCATTTGTCTTTACATATAACGAATCGACGAAGCTACTTTGAGTCATATCTGGTAATAAATTAAAGATATCTTGAAGCTGATATACAATTTGATGATTTATAGGTAATTTTCCATTGCCAACCTAGAAAACAATTATTTGAATAAACCTTTTAACAATATTAATATAAAAAATAAAAGTGCCTTTTCATACTAACGTTCAACGCTTATTTTTAGTGTCAAAATAGATCACATGATCGAAATCAACGTTTGATATTCGTCAATTTTTATCACGCGATCTGTTTTGACACTAAAATGAGCGTCGAGCATCAGTATGAAAAGACATCTTAATTTCTATCAAAGATAAAAATGTATACCTGAAGCAAATAATCTCTAATTTCCCGAATTTGTTCATGAAGTCCTTTCAAGCCAAGTAATTGATTTGTGATTCTTTGACTGAGGGTACCAACTGTAGTATCTTTGATATCTCGCAATAAATGTTCCACTCCTACTTCTTCTGCTTCTTCAGCTCCAATTTCACTTGGAATATGCTCGAAAGTTTTGGAGGTAGGAGAACCATCCTACAAATAAAATTCTCGTTACATGTTTATTTTTTAACAGACAGCAGTTAATATATATATACATAAAAACGTACATCATGTACTTCTTCAACTGCTTGATAAGCCTCAGTAGGAAGTCCAAGATCTTTTGGTTTGGCATCAATAATTACCAAAACCGAATTAGAACAATATCTTCTTATTAGTTCGTTGATGGCAACGTCATTTTGATGTAGTTTAGGCCCAGTGTGATACCAGCCTACTACCTTCTCACGAGCTAAGAATTAACATAAAATATCATAATCAAAAATTTTGCTCCAAGTAAAACCTATAAGATTTGCATGAACTATACATAGATCTTTACCATTAACTTTCTTGAACATTCCATACATATTTTCAAGGTAATCATGGTCAAGAAACCATACACTTTTGTCCTTGTCATCCTCATCAAAGGGTACTGAAATACAAGTTTATCTGATTTATCTCTTTATATCGCAATTAGCTCTAAAGATAAGATACATTTATTTTTTGTGCCTTTAGACGCAATAATGAAAGCAGAACAGCTTGACTTCAAATACGAACGATTTAAGAAACATCATAACGTGTTTACACATCCTAACCTGCAAAGCTGTTCGACACGTCCAAGATTCCCTTAGCTCTCCAACAGCCCAGGAGTACACCAACCACTCTTTTTTGGTTTCCGATTTTTCCCATGCGATTAAAGTGATCCACCACGCTTAATAATACCAGCGGATGGACCACAACTTTCGTTGTCACAACCTCTTGACTCGGCATTTTTGGACAACGCAACGACGTATACTGCTATAGTCTATACTACACTACTCCATTACTCCACACTGTCGCCACTGATCACGGTCATTCGGAAATAACAAGAAAGGCGTGTTGTATGTCAAGTGATGTCAAGCTCATCGAAGCGCTGTACGCAGATGAGAGAAAAAACGCTAATATTTATATTTTTGATATGATATAAAATAATTGAAGGTAATTCTACATTTTAAAAGTGAAATATTATGTCATATTTATTGTTTTCCATTATAAATAATGGTTATTTCCTATTTGATTTAGTGAATGAGGATGATATGCTTTTCACGATTCATCCGTAAAGTTGGCCAGCTTGATTGAAAAAACAACGTTGGACGCATCAACTACAGTGGTTTTGTTGGTTAGAAGCGACTACAGATTTTAACGTAAGTAAAAGTACTTCAATTAAAAAGGTAATAAATTTGTTTCCAGTATCAGAAGTATGCCTGATAAAAGTAATTTGCATGACGTTCATATTATTTTGAAAACAATTCGTGATGATAGAAATTCAACATATCAAATATATCAAAATGCATATGTGTGTACTTCTGCACCGAATTGCACTGAATAAATTCACTGCGAGCGCCAACTTGAAAGATGTAAACAAAATGCGCGAGATCAGGAGGAAAATAAAATTATGTAACAAATAATAAAATGAGAATTTTATTCTAACATAATTGATTAATCTTTAATTTCTGATTTTAATTTCTGATGAAAAAAATTTTTATATTATAACATTTAAAAAAATTTTTCATATTTTAAATTTAAGGTTTCTGAAAAATATAATACTTTAAACTTTTTCAGATTCTACAAGTTTTTTCGGAAATTATAGAATGAAAAATCTTAGAATATTTCAAAATTGAAATATATAAAAAATTCTTAAGATGTAAATCCAAACAGATTTATTTTTAAAAAGATGTAAATCCAGTCAATATTTCCAGTTTATATTATTCAATCAGCACACAATATTAAAAAAATTTTTTTTAAATATTTATTAAATATTTTTACATTAAATAAATATTTAAAAAACATTTTAAAAATATTGTTTGCTGATTGGATTATAAGCATTCTCAACATTTCTAAAATGTTCGTATTAAAAAATTTAAGAAATTCTCTAAAATATAAAATTATATAAAAGTTTTAAAAAATTCAAAAATCTGAAAATTTATATGAAAAATTTTAAGAAATATTTCTAATTTAGAAGTTAGAAATCCAATATAAATTCCAATATAAAATATTTTATTTTTTATCAAATTCTGTAAAGAATAGTTGAATTAAAATAGTTAATTAACTTACATTCTTTATGATTTAAAGTATTTGAATTTTATATTAAACGAATTATATATAAACCGGAAAATCTACAATGAGAATATATATTTTTTTAATTATATCATTTTGTAATAATTCATCGAGTTTTATATTACAGATAAAGAAATTATAGTTCGAATCATAATTCTATTTTTTACAGAATTTGGTATGATATTGATTTCTATCAATTATGCTATCGTTCGAAGAACAAGTTAATTCTAGAGTGAGAAAAGATTTTTCTAATGTCATAACATTGACTAAAAAAATTTTAAAAAGTTAAAATATATAATATATGCCATACTCTTAACATGTCTTTTGTTATAGAATGTCGCTACCCGTAGTATTCGTGACGGGCAACGCGAAGAAACTGGAAGAATTCATCGCTATTTTGGGAAAAGACTTTTCTCGACGGATAACGAGCAAGAAAATCGATCTGCCTGAATATCAGGGCGAAGTAGACGATATATGTCGAAACAAATGTGAGGCCGCAGTAAACCTAATGAAAGGCCCAGTGATCATCGAAGATACATGTCTCTGCTTCAACGCACTGAAGGGTCTTCCGGGACCTTACATCAAGTGGTTCCTCGAAAAACTGGGACCTGAAGGTCTTCATAGGATGCTTTACGGATTTGAGGACAAATCGGCAGAAGCGGTCTGCACATTCGGTTATTGTTCTGGTAAAGACTCTGAAGTTCATCTATTTCAAGGTCGAACTCAAGGTACCATTGTAAGTCCGCGAGGTTCCAGGGATTTTGGCTGGGACCCTTGTTTTCAACCGCTAGGCTACGACAAGACTTACGCGGAACTGCCGAAAGAAGAGAAGAACAAGATTTCTCACCGTAGCAAGGCAATAGAAAAATTAAAAGCTTATTTGTTAAACAATGAGAATATTTAATTTTTGCAGTATATAATAAAATTATTGTTATAAAGGAAACTATTATTTTTTCTACACTAGAATGTAAAAAACAGATGATTGTTTCTCGGGTTAATTATATTGTTAAGACGTATTTTTATAAGTATTTATGTTCTTATGAAATTCGTTTATATTGATTTATTATAACCGAGATAATTTATATTAATGCAATTATGTTTGCGATTCTTCTTAATCCTGAAGAGTGGCAAGTACGCGTTGTTTTGTCTTCACTTTGTAATTTACACTGTGACCTATAATGTTAACGTTCGATATCCGTTCAATTTATCAAAGGTGATTCTTTGCCGAAAACAAACATTTCGATGTCTTGTCACAGCGATAGCCGTTGGACAGCATATGGAATAATTTGCCAACAACCTTGAAGCTATTATGAGATGAGACTCACTATTGTGAGACTTTCTCACGACTGAAAATCTGATAACTTTAATTTCGATATGTCGCACGAATGTGTTAATCAACGACTTCTACCTTGCAAATTTTACGTGACGCAACAAATTGAAATATGAAATTATATTTCTTTTTAATCATGCGGTGGTTGATAGAGTTAATCATGTAAACCAATACCTTCTCATATGCAAGCAGATTAGAACTATAAATCATGTACAATAATAACTACAATGGATTACCGCCACTATCTAATTACTTTACCAATAACGCGATTACATTATTTGAGTGAGATAGACTATAAATTAATTACTGAGATGGATGACTAGTATTAAATGGAATTTAAATATGCCAGTTGAATATTAAACATTCAAAAATGACACTTCTCTAAAATAAAATATAAGAAAAAAATAATTTTGTACACTTTAATTGTAATACAAAATTAATAAAAGTATATAACAGTATTATACATAGATTTTATAATGTATTACTTAAAAATTTTATTTGATGCAAAGGAAAAAGCCGGTATTTTTAGTCGATTCTTATATTTAAAATTGTTAAATATAAATTTTAGATATCATGAATCAAACAGAAATTTATTAGAGAGCCGCGTTAGCATCTTAAGACATTACTTAAGACAGCCTTAAAATAAAAATGGATTATGGATACTGGACTCAAATGTATTTTCTTAAAATACTTTTAAAAAAATGCATTTGAATTCAATCGAAAGAGAATACTATAATATATTAGATTTATCTTTAGTATGATAAAAATAATCATTATATATATATATAATTATTATCTAAAAATGATTGTTTAAAAATATAAAATTGTAGATAAAAATAGTTATAATAATACAAAATATTTCTCTCAGAACTATATTAGATGTTTTTAATGACAAATTTTTTGATCAATTTAAAGTCAATATTTTCTTAGCAAAAATATCGAAGTATTTAATAATTTTCAAGATATAAGAAATTAGAAAAGGGATTTATTTCACGAATTAACTTTGAAGAATCAAATAAAAATTACATTCTTCAGTATCATATCAGATGAAGTTTGCTTTTCAATACAATTAACTTTAATTCGATGCATATAATTATATGATGCAAAAAATCAAAAAGTAATAAATTGTGACCTCTCTCGATATTTTTATACAGGAAAAGTCAAGTCCAAAGAATCCGTCAATCTATCAATAAAAGGACATTCGGTCGTTCAAAAAGACAATCAGTATAACAGCGAGACAACAGATAAATATACATGTTGGTGTATTATTATTACGTAAAACCGTTGGTAAACAGGCAATCATTTTTACTTTTTATCAAACTGTCAATGATTATTTAATTTATGCGATCAATGAAAAAATTATTCAATTATCTTTGCGGCTCTAATTACTCGTGATTATCTTAATTAATCAAATATATTATAAAAAGACAAGCGAGAGAACTATTAAATAGCTTTGCTGCAACATAAAACGCAAGGAATAAAAGAGAATTTAATTTTAATGATTGATAAACAGAGAAACGAGCAAATTGTTTATTAGTTTCTATCTGCAATAAATATATCTTTTGGACATATTTAAAAAAGGAAACCTTCCTGAAATTTTTTAATTTTTCGTTATTAATTATAAAAAGTGCAACTTTTTTTTAATTTTTAGTAAATTTTTTATCATCACCTAAAATATATTTTTCTTATCGTTATGTTCATGTAAGTCATGCATATCTAGAATTTCTATTAATTATAGAACTTTAACTTTAACAGAGTTCTCGTTTTTCATGAAGAAAGTTTTCGCAAAGTTTTTAAGATAGAATATCCATTAAAATATTAATGAATACTCTATTTGCAATTATACATTTCGTTTTTAATAAAACTATTAGGTGTTGGAATTAATTCGTAGCGTTTTTAATGAAAGAATGTTATTTATTTCACATGAGCATTAAAAAATACATTAATGAAAGTACTTCCCATCACTTGTAAAACGCTACGAATTAATTCCAACACCTAATATATTTTATCAATACTTTTTTCAGGGAAAAAAAAATGTTATGATTTATAAAACTTAATACTTTTCTCATTGAAAAGTAGGAACAAGACATTCTATGCTTAAAATATAAAAAAAAAGCAATTTAATGATGCAAAAAATTGCTGTTTATGTAATAATAAAATTAATAAAAAGCCACTTTCAAAAAAAATCCTAGATCCGTCCATGCACTCTTTTTTATTATTTAAATTTTTTATCTAATATTATATCCTTTTTATCATTTCTATGCTAACGGTCACAATAGGTTTTTACATAAAATTATAATGCCATTCTTTTAGTGAATTATTCTAAAATTAATAATACACTTTCTGTATAATCTGCTTATGTCGATCTTACCAAAGATTTTTCTATCAAGCAATCTATTTTTCATCATTTTTTACATCTCGTCTTCGCAAAATCGACCTCTTACAAAATTGATACTCTTTCTAATACTCCTTATATTCCTGTTTACAGACTCATTGCTTTTATCTGATTTTTTATCTTACCGTCAAAATGACGGTCACTTGGAATGTAAAAGTATTTGACAATCTTCTCCGGTGTGTACAAATTCTTTTCCGGTGTGTACAAATCACTGGGGAGCAGTAATGCGATTATATGTAATGCATAGCATGTACACAAAGATAAAATTGCGAATTGCATATGTAATTTAGATAGACAGAAATGAAGTTTTTCTTGGTGTAGAGAATGATGAAGGAGTGCCGAGACCAATCACGATTAGTCTGATATACGAATTATTTTTAATATACATGCATGCATTTTTAATGTGTAAATAGCATTGGGGCTTGACCTCAAAAGAGTTATCTCCTTGATTATACCGGTACGATCCTTTTTCTCTTTCTCTCCGTAATATATAACACCCTTTCATCGCAGGGTTATCGCCTTGCCTGCACTTTTGAATTTTACCAATTGAATTTTAGCAATTGGAGAACTTTGCGCCTTATAAAAGCGGGAGGATCTCGCGTACGCTACCAGTCTTACATCAGGGGCCACGCTATGATGAATGCCCTTACTGGTAAGTCGCCACCGAATGCGAAGTCGTATCTACTTCTGGGTACCTATCATAGAATATGTTGGAATGAATACCGATCAGAATTAGGTATCCCGTTTTCTTTAGAAAACGCAATAAACATCTAAGGAATAATTAAATAACTTCGATTGGAAATTTATTCCGACTTGTTCCATGATAAATGCTTGAATCGCGAGTTACACTTCAACGGAGTTTATTTCTCCTTTTTTTTACAATTCAACAAATTCGATATGTATAATATAATTGTGAGAATGTCTTGTCCAATTTTATATCAATCTAATTATCATCATTTACTTACTTTTCTCAAATTATAAAATATTGTTTTCTACAACTTCATATTTTTAAAAACGTCTCGAAGGAGAAAGAAAAGTTTTTTTGCAATTTGCGAATTCTAATAAAGAAATATCTAAGGAAGTAATTGATTTTATATAGCATTTTCAAATATATATAAAAATTTTACAATTACTTAATGAATATATTAATTTAAATTTAATATCTCCTTTCAATTTCTCTTTTTCTTAAATATTTTTAATACGCAATACATTGAAGAAGAATACATTATATCATGTATATGTAATGAAATTATGTTTTCAGTATTTTTGCTGTGTCTAACGGCCACATATGCGGTACCAGGTAAGAATTTATATCTATTTTCTTATTTCTATTTGTTTTTCTTATTTTATAAAATACTAAAAAAATATTTGTCTACAAATTGGTATAGGCAAATTGTATTCTGAATATTTAATAATGTTACATTAATAATAGTAAAGTCATTTCTTCAGTAAAATTAAATTATTTTTGCGTATCTATTAATTCGCTGTATCGTGAACGGTAAATGATAATAATTCAATGCATGCTTTAATGATTTATTAAATGTAAAATTATTTTGATGTCTTTCTCAAAGTCACAGATTATTATATTTAATCGATGAAACGATACTTGCTTCAATTAACAAATAAGTAATAAAATAATACAAACAGAATACAATTAATAATATAGATATAAAATGACAGATAAATAATTTGCGATAATTTGATATATTTCAGTACACTTTCCGGACTGTCGAGCCAGTGCAATATGTCTCTCAGTTCGTTCTTACTGGGCAACTTTATGTAAAGAAGGATACCAGTGATCCGACTTTAAATAATGCTTATTACATCAAATTAAACAATTTAAAGCATGGCATGTACAATGGCATGGCCGTACATCACCAGCCGGTCAAAGTTCTTCACGAACTCGGAGAAGCCGCACAGCAAATTCAAGAACCGTTCGTGATCGTTTATGACGAATCTGGCAAGGTAATGTCCGAATTCTTATGGTGATAATTTGATATAAAAATCGTTCGTGAAAGACGAGTGACTTGAATATTTGATTTCAGTTCCAAGGCATCAAAATGCCAGAAACCGAGAGCGGTTGGTCAAGGAACATCAAGCAAGGTATCGCCTCGATGCTGCAATTGGATCTGGCTCACATCCAGATGCAAACTCCATTGAAGCCGCATGGTTTCATTACGCATGAGGTAGGTAAC